ATGAGACTTAAGATATGATTATCTCAGCTTATTTATGTTGAGTATGTGTATTGAATTTAATTATAGGAAGGACCTTTGTGATCTTGAGTTATAAAATAAAGATACTGGAAAATCCCAGATATATTTATCTCAAAGTATTGATCATTCAAGAAATGGATGATGAGCTAGACATAAAGCAAGTGTGAGTTGTTTGTTTAATAATGCTTTCCCTTTCTCTTCTCCTTGCCCTCAAGGTAACAAACATGCTGAAATACATAAAGATATGTCAGGGAAACATTGAAATAATTGATATTTACTGTGTTGGTTTATTTACAAATTGACATACTGCAACACAGTCTTCTCCATATCCCTTCCAGGTGTGCTGTTCAAGCAGAAATTTAGACTTCAGTATTATTCATCAATGGTATCCATGTAGTTGACACAGAAATGGTGGGTGAATATTTAAAAGGTCTATTTGATAAAAATGTTTAATTAGAAAGATTTCTTTCTGTTGCTTTTGGTTTTCAAAATTATGAAATACAGAGATCACGTAAGCTATCCTAGCTGAGAAGGTCTTTTTAATATAAAGAGTGATGGCAGAAAGGCAAACAGTGAAGGGAGCAGACTGACAGTGAGTTCTGCTCTCAGTGACTCCATTAGAAGCACATTTTGTGTTGACGCTAGCAAGATTCCTGATTAGAATCTGGAAACAGATGCTGAAGTTATGTTGCATGTTATGGATGTGAGAAATGCTAGGACACATGATCATACAAGATCTAGTCACCGCTGTAAGGCATGGCCAGAAGTCTTCCTGAGTGACAATTAACAAAGGCAAATTTCCTCAGTTGTAAAGATTCTGTAATCTTCAGTCCATAAGAAATCTTACCATACACTTAATAGTATATCATTATTTTTACTTCTTGATTTTTGTGCAATATAACAACAATGGACTGTATTTCAAGCAGCTTTTAAGTAAGTGATTTTCACAAAAAGAACACCTTTCCTGTTTCCCTTCAACCTAAAAATTTGCCCAGCCAGGAAAAATGCTGCAAACATTAGATAACTTTAATAATGAGTTAACAGAATACTTAATTTGCAGTTGTACACTTCTTGTAGATTTAACTCCAATATGGAAACATACTCTGTTTTTGCATGTACTAATTAACCTCCTATGGCAAGATTAAAAATGTAATCGAATTACACGGTTCAAGATTGTGATGGCAAAGAGAGAACTTGATTGGTGCACTGGTTGGAGTATTTCTTCAATGTGTTTCATGATGATTAGCTGTGGCACATCCATCCTGAACAGCTTTGTGTTTGAGCATCTCTTTGCATTTTGTTCTCTCTCTACTCGCTATCTTAAACTTGGGCTGATTGTAAAAACAATAAGAACTGCTAAACTGGAACAATAATGATGCAGGTGTTAATAGCAGGGTTGTTGTTTTTTTGTTGTTTTTTTTTTTTTTTTTTTAAACTTGAAGGGAACATATTTTTAGGAAAACTGCTGTCAATATGTCATATTGTGGCTGTTTATCTCAGCCATAGCATCACCATGCCATGCAGTCACTGGTAAGTGAGGATGTCTCAGCTCAAAGACGTAGTATAGATAAATATCTAGAATGTAGTCAAAAGAAAGTGTTATCCAGCTGATTTAATTAGTCTGCACCATGTTCCCTGGGGAAAGGAGTGACAACAACAACAACAAAACTTGGCAAAGCATTCTTGTTTACTTGTCTGACATAGTGAAGTGACATGTATGACACCTGAAAATGCAGCTGCTGTCTGGGCAATTCTCTTGCTCTCTTCACAGTTATTTTTTAAAACATGCAGCTTCACTAGACGGAATATACCTCAGAGGTCAGCCGACTGGAAATACAGATCAAAGAGGCCTTTTCAGTGAGGCTATTCTGTGTACTTGCTGCAATTGTAATAAGGGTTAGTAAGATAAAAAATAGAAGATGCAGAGTAGAAAAAATCAAAATGTTCTTATGAAAATAGAGAGTAGCAGACATTTTCAATACACAGAGGAGCTAGTGTTCTCCTAAGTAATAAGTGTGCCCCATTCCTTTTTTTTTCCCTGACTGACTGAACTGTATCAGGGACTCTGATTTATTATCTAGTCATGAAAAGTTATCAGAACCTGACATATTACTGCTGCTTATTCAGAGAAATGAAATTCTTTACATTTCTGCAACTGGTGAATGTATCCTATCTGTGGAGTTAATTTAAGAGTAACTGAGACACATTACATAGTAAGTATGATGACCAATTAGAGCTAAGCTTAAGAATCGAAAGATGGAAGAAGTTTAAAGGAGATTGAACAGATCAGATAGGTAAAGGCAAGAGTGCTGGTCAAGAATTATCAAATTTTGAAACGTATGTTTTATTCAAAATATTTTCCATTTCAAGATGCCCTTAATTTCAAATGCACTTCTTTCAGAAAAGATTTGAAACTTTTCCATGGGACACTTTTGAAATATACTGTAACTAGATAAAGGAAATATAGCTATCATGAAACTGCTTTTCTCCAGAATGAGATACAGGTTTTGTGAAGATAATTTGTGTTACTGTTACTCTGTGTTATTAGTTATATAATACAGGAAGAAATTCCTGTAGAAAACACCTGTGGATTATTTTGAACTGTTTCATCTTCAATTGCCTAGAATTGGAGGAATGTTTCTTAACTTCTATTGTAGAATAATCTTTAAAAGCCCAGACTTGATAACTTGTTGCTAAATCTATCAGTAATCTTTTCTCTGTATTTAGAGTAGATAATAGATGTGATGCATGATTCATCATGCATAGTTTCATTATGCAAACACGAATATGCATATATATGGTAAAAATTTAGATTAGTTCTTATGTCCTTTCTTCTGAATACAGATATCTTCACACTGCTGACACTGAGGAATCCCAAAGAAATAATACGAATAAAGAGAAACAGATATGAGTAGCACATTAAAAATCATGCATAATTAAAATGTTCAATTTTTTCTTCCAGAACAGTGATAAGAATAACCTCTCACATTTTCAAAGATTTTTTAATCACTTCCATTTAAAAACAAAAACAAAAACAAAAACAAAAACAAAAACCAAGCACAGCAACAAACCTCACACGCATAGAAGATCCCACCAACAAACCATAGCATTTTAGTTACTGCGGCTTTTTGAAGTGGTGTTATCCTTACAGATAGAGCAAATACTGGTATTAGAATTTACAACGCTTGAATGAAAGATTCTGGGTTTAGCTGCTTATAACTATACGAATCTGTGAAAGAATGGCCAAACTTTGTGTGAAAGTTCTGCCGGAGGAAAATTCCCCACAGAGCCGAATTCCTTCATATTAGGCAGCTGACCATACGAGGAATTTATGTCCAAAGAGGAAAGCATTTTGTTGTGGCTTTGAGACATTTTTTTTCTTTAAAATGTGCCACCAGTAGATGTTTCAAAACTGGATGTCTTTGACAGAAATATATTTTTGTGGGAAGATGCTTAGTGATAGTTCTCTAATGCTATTAGTTAATTTTAATTACGTTAAACAAAGTTCTAAGAAGTAATGGTTTGATTGTTTTTTGGCACTTTTTTCATCAGTGGTGAGACTTGGGAGAAGGTATCACATGTAAGCTTGGACATACATTTTTTTTTAATTAAATATTGGCATTAAATAGATGAATAATAGAGGAAAAAAAGAACCATTAAAAATATTTGAGAAGGAAGGGTTTCAGTGCGAAATGTAGAGTGCTGTTTAAGTAAAATGCACCACTCTCTCATGGTGAAAGTCTCAAAAACTTCGAGAATTAATTAAAATGAATTAAAAACAACTGCTTGAGTGGTGGACTTCTCCAGGACTGATTGTTGCTGATGTCATATAGCAAAAGTTTTGTCCTCAGATAAATCCAAGACCATGTTAATCTTTCTGCATGGAGATAACTGTTATATAATTGCTGTTGTAACGTCTACTGTTTCGCTTCTGTTTTCCTGGTCAGTGGGGCAATTGATTCCTTGCAATTTAAATTCAGAATTTTGGCAGCAGTTTATTTCCACTTTGAATTTGGCCTATTCTCTGCTCAGTTTTGCATGCTCTGTGAAATTTAACAATTGCAAATAGGCGTTCACCTGAGTTCTGCATTCTCTCAGAATGTGCACTTCCCACAGTTCTTGTATTTGTAATCTATTTTGAAAAGCTTTTATTCTGAAGCATAAAGTAAAAATCAAAACTTAGCAGTTTAGATCTGTCACATATCTAATCCATTTTTTATTTTTGCCTTATGACAAATACGTACTATGTACTTTCCCCATAGTGAGAAACGTCTATGGTTCTGTTCTTTTGCAGGATGTTCCTTACATATCACATGAATGACACTAACAGAATTTGGCTTGTCAGTTGCACATGCTTGTCTGTTACAAAGTATGACAAATTACTTTGTTCCTGACAGAACACAGAAAAAGTGTCAAACATTCAATTAAATGTACAAATAAAAATATTCACAAGCTTAGTTTCTGTAGGCTCAAACTCTCTGTAAGAATAGGACAAGTTGGCACCAATGACTTCAAGTGGATTATTCTAAGTGTAGCTAAGTAGACCATAGTGTAGTAATTTAGAAAATATTTTGTTGTGTTTTAATTAGACAAGCGTCTAAAGACCAGCCAGCCTTTCACTCACTCCTCTCCGTCACAGTGGGATGAGAGAAGAGAATCAGGGACAAAAAAATAAAACAAATTTGAACTCATAGGTTGAAATAAAAACTATTTACTAAGATAGAAAAGGAAGAGAGAAAGAACAGTAATGATGATTAGATGTATATTAGTGTGCATGTATACATATGCACAGAATAAGTGATGCACAAAACAATTGTTCCCCAGCAATCCATGAATGCCCAGCCAGTCCTTGAGCAGTGGAAACCTCACCCTGGCCAATTCCCTCATTATTATAGTTCTCATGATGCCATATGTTATGGAATAGCTCTTTGGCCAGTGTAGATCGGGTCTTCCTTCTGCCCTTCCCATTTCTTTAGATTCCCCAGTCCTTGCTGGCAGGACAGTCTAAGAAGCTGAGAAATAAATATCCTTGGCTCTGTACAGCACTGCTCAGCAACAACTGTGTGTTATCAACATTGTTGATAAAACCAGCACTGACATGTTCTAAAGACATGTAAGTATAAAGTCTGCCCTGAATGTAAAGCCTTCTATATTATTATATTGTCTCACAACATCAGAGATGGATGTTGGTGGTATGGCAGTAGAGGCTGAACAGTACACTTTTTTTGCCATGTGACAGGTGGCAGCAGAGGGGCAATCTGACAAAACAGCATTTTTCATGGAAGTGCATATGAAGCAGAGGTCTGTCATTGAATTCCTCCATGCACCTACTGACATTTATCAGTGCTTCTTGAGCAATGATGGAGACCAAACAGTGGATGTGAGCACAGTGAGGTGGTGAGTAGCATGTGGCAATTGTAACAGTAGATCACCTCTGCTAGTGCCGATATGAGCATGGCATGCAGGCTCTGTTTGTCACTAATGAAAATGCATAGCTAATAGTGGTGACCGTGTTGAAAAATAGTGCTTTGTAGCTGAGAATGTGCTCTATCAAATCATGTTATTGTGCTCTACATATCTGTTGTAGTTTCCACAGGAATAAATAAGAGCCATTGCTTTCAGAACAACCTATGTACAAAACATTTTCAAAAGGACAGAAGAATCAAGTATTTAGTGAAGCAGTGGAATTTTATCTTGGCTATTAAAATGGGACAAACATATAAAAACATCTATTTGTCACTACTTTTCCAAGCATTCAGCCATGCCATCTGAGACATTTACAGCCACTGGTTACTAGCTCTACACCGGTATCATATTTGTAACTATTAATATGCAGACAGGAGATGATTAAATGCACTTGTGATAAAATGTGACACTGTATTATAAATCAGAATGGAAAATGATTTTATAACCATAAATCATGTATTAAAGTACATATGACAAGCTCAAACTGATGAAGACAATGCAGAAATAGCAAGTACTGTAAATGCCAGTTTCATAATTTTAAAAAAAGGTGTTTTCTTTTTCTGGTGTTCTATTTTATGTCTAGTTTTTGCTTCAATTCACTTACTTCAGCTGAAAATAACTACAGAGATGTGGCTATGGTTTGTCATAATCAGTTAACATAGAATTCCAATTTGGTGGCTATTGGAGTGCTTTCTATTCTAATATTAAAGAAAACCAAGAAATTTAGGAAAATCTTCCTCAGGAAGTTTAAGTAAAATAAAAATTAAACATCAGTTCTCTCTTTTACTTTTTTTTTTCAAAGCTATGGTATGGAAATTAAGTAAATATTCCATTCATTTAATGTGGAAACATTCACAGAACATCTTGCAAAACCTTCCATTCTTCATATAGCTTTGTCACATGCTCACAGTCAGTGTAAAAGAGCCTGAGGGGGATGTATGAGGTCACAGAGACCATCTTCTCAGTTTTGAACATAAAATACATCTTGTATCTAAAAACATGTTTATTTTTCCAGTATAATGCATACTTGTTGGGAAAAAAAAAAAAGTTTAGAATAGTCTCATTGAACTCAGGTTTCTGCTTACAGAATTACAGTCTGGACCATCCCATGTGAATTTCAGTGATGCTATTCTTCCCATCAGCTTTGGGACTTCAACTTTTCCTGGTCCAGAGATTTTATGTATATCGTTCCAAGCACTGAATCCTGAGGTTTTTTTCTCCTTTCTTGCTTTAAGCAGTCTGTACTGTCTGATTACTAATACAGCTTCTGCACAGTTGGTCCAATGGATTGACAGTATATCAGATATTAAATACATAAAAACCACTAGGGTGTATGTTTAACTGGTGGTCCTTGCACAGGAGGATTTTAAGAGTTTTCCAAAGACTATTCAAAGCTGTTGTGAACATTTCAGACCAATTGCAGTCACCTTCAAATGTTGTGTAGCAAGAAAAGAGTAAAAGGACCTTCCCAGGAAAGTACCTTCCTACATAGAAATAAAATGAAATATGTGCTCAGTTACTTTGATGTCTAGTCTTATTTAACCCCTTTTTGTAATTTACTTGTATTTCCCTAATACTTAAAGGCAGAAGTCAAGACTGTAATCTTTAGTGCTTGTATGAACATGGAGGAAAGGACAATATTTGGGCTGGAAAAAAAAAAAAAAAGTCAGACTAGCTAGCCAGGACAGAAAAAAAACAGCATGGGAACAGACACAAACAGATAAAACCATTTGTCCAAGGCCACGAAGAAGGGCAGTGGTAGAGATTGGAGCAGAATTTAAGATTTCTGACTTCCAATATTAGAGTCCTAATAAATAATTCATTTAATTTCCTTGTTTTTATCTGCTTGCGAAATGCTCATGCGTGTGCTTTGACAATCTCTGAGTCACTGAGTATTCATTCTGAATTCCTTTTCTGTAAAAAACTCAAATGCTGTTTGATTATAGCTATCTAACATTCAGGATCATAATTCATGTTATGCTGACCAGTTGTGTGAGGGTGTAAGGCCTTTCTCCCACCACAGGCACACCTCGTTTATCCTATTTTCTGTGGGAAGTGAGGAGGAGGAAAGAGCCAGGATTACTCAGGAAAAGTGAAATTATGGCTATACTTAAAAGTTTGCAAGATGAAAGATGTATTGTAATTTTGCTCTAAAAGTCAGCATGACACTGTTTTTAAGCAGATATGTATTCTATTTGTTTTTCTGAATAGCACATTCAGAGTCTCACTTGTTACAACTCTTTCTCCTAGAAAATATTCAGCTACTCAATAGTAAAATTTCTGTTAAAATGACTATTCATGGAAAGTGCTATATTCTGTACTGACTTGAGTGAAGCCAATTCATGCAACTTGTGGATTTGGCCTCAATGGTGCCTTGTTAGTGAAGAAACATTCTCTAGTTTCTGTTGACCATAAATGAATATTTTCCTTCTGGGGAACATAAGTCCAAACTCCAAAATAGTAATAGCTCTTTATGTATCAAACTATATTGTAGTGTATAGGGAATGAAGAACCTATTAGAAGTGATGAGGACGTTGAAAAATCACATTTTTTTGGCAGAGACATTTCATGTCTCAGAGTAATTTCCTTGCCATTCCACTGTTAAGTTGGAGGAAATGAGGACCACTCCATTTCATAGGGCAGTGAAGTCTTCTAAAAATCAGTCATTCCTGTTGTTTTTGAATACTGCAAAAAAAAAGCCACCTCTTTTGTTTTACCCATAGGGACCACACTGTAGAACTGTGGCATTCCTGTAGGTAAGGTCAGTATAGTCACAGTAATTGTCCCATGCGATTCATAACAATACCTATTTTTTTTTTTTTTAAAGTTTCCATTTTCTAAGAGTCATAGCAATAATATAAGATGGTATGTATAGGCAATGTACGTGCCTATACAGATTATTCAACATAATCTGTGTTGATGTTTCTGTGATTTAATGGCTTTTCAATTCATTTTATTTAATAGGATGATATTTTTTGGAATGTAGTTTTGGTAACCTCAGCAAAAGCATCACTACAGATTTCAACAATTCTCAGTTGTTCCAATTATACTGTGACCTCTACTTAACAAAAATGTTATTATAGATGTTATGTAGAACTGTTTAAATAAATTGAAATTATATGAAATTAAATTATAGGAATTCTGTAAATAAACTATGTGAAATTTTTATGTAAAGTGTCATATTTTGTTGTAAAAAATACGCATTAGGTCTTACGATAGTTGGTCTTTTTCAAGAAAAGATGACTATTCTGTTAACTGCTAGTTGTTAATAAGGTAAACTATTTCAGAGTAGCTTCTCAGACCGCATGTTGTATGTGTGTCGCATACTGTATTTTGCGCAATTTATTTTCCCCAGCAAATGAACCAATTAACTGTCATTTTGTTCATTTTACCACATTTTCCACTGTTGTGATTAGATCACAACAGTAGAAGTTCAAAGAACTACACAAAGTAGAAATGACTGAATTCATCTTCACACAAACAGAAACAAGTTTTCATCATCAGAAGTGATTCAAGCTTTAGAATGTTGACTATCATGTTAATATTTATTACCTACTTAAACTTTCTTTGTTTTTACATAGTGTAGTGCTTTAATACGTGTTGGTACAGCCCTCCTTACAGCCTTTCCTTCTTTTTCTTTTTGAAGTTAAATAAGCACTTAGAAAAATGTTATTTAAAATCAAAGGAATCTCTTAAAACAGTTTCAATTCTTTTACTGCTCTCTAGAAGTTCAGCCCCCAGGCTTTGCTCATCTGGAATTGCCCTGACCCAAGTACAACACCTTGCATTTGGTCTAATTGAACCTCACTAGGTTCTACTGAGACCACTAGTGAGTCCTTCTTCTAAAGAAAAAAAAAAAAAAACAAACTACAAAGTTAATCATGGTTGATTGGTTGATTTTAACTATTTTCCTCTGAAATCTTATTTGGAACTTTTCCTTCAACTGTAAAAATTAAATTATTGAATGAGGCCATAGATCTCATTAAAATCTAGTACAGTTCTGTGAATTTGGCAGGTATATGCAATATGAAAAAAGAATTGTACAGTAGCTGGGGTTTATGTACAATGTTTCAAGTTAATTACAAACACTTTTTTTTTTTAGCGTGTAATGAAAGCTTAGAAATGTTATTTCATGCTGTGGTCTGAGTATAGGCATTACTTCTGGTTAAACAGGAAAGTTTTATTCCCACCTCTTTATGGGGCCTTTTTTCTAATCAAAATGTATTTACTGTGATTGCCATTAAGTGTTTCCTGGTAACGACATATATATGAATGAGTAAAACTGAAATGTAATGGAAGACTCTTTTGGTAAGTGTATTTATAACCAAGGAACGCTCACACTCCAGAAAGTTTTTTTGTTTAAGTTGAATTTAGTATGAAATGCTCCAATATATTATGCTTTTCAAGCACAAATATGTGATTTGGTTGCCAGTATGGTATTTGAGAAACTAATAAAGCAGTCAGAATATAGGGAAGAATACTGTTTCTGTCTATGAATATTAGAGCATTGCTCCCTCCTGTATCTAAGATACACAGTTATTAGGTTAAGATAAACAGTTTATTAAAAAAATCTTTATGTAATACCACAAGAATAGACTCTCATAATTTAATACGGAGCAAGTAACATTGTTTGATTTTTTGCTTTATTTCTTTTTAACTAAATACATTTTAAACTTGGGTTAAATCAATACAGCTAAGGATAATTTAATGAAAAGAAGCCACAAATTGTATTTTCTTTCTTCTTCAAAATAAATTAATTCACAAGGTGCTTTATCTTGTTTAAAACTCAGCCCAGGAGATACTAAAAAATATTTTTAATGTGGAAAAAGAAAAGAAAGTACAGTGGGGAGAGATTTAACAACACTGATAAATGCAATCTAAACATCAATACTTGTTAGCATTCCTTTAACCACACTCTACTTCAATTTAATGAAAACCTTACGTTAGTTCTTAACACTGTAGCATTATTGATTATAAAATATTATAATTTGCTGCTTCAAGGCCCTATTTACCCAGATATGTAAAAGCACAATCTGCCATGAAAACTATGAAAAAATAATAATTGTAAATGAGATAACTAAATTCCAGCTAAGATAGTAATTTCACAGTACTTAATCAAAAACAATAACCTGTAATGAAGCTTGAGAAATTCCTGGAAAAAAAAAGCTGAGTAACAGCCATATTTATTCTGTTAAAATGTCTGAATACAGAAGGTATACTTCAAGTAATTTGTTGATCTCTCTCCCCCTAAACACCTATCTTTAAGGAAATGATTAGATCTTTAATTCATAATTCATTATAATTAGAACTCTATGCTGACTTCTGAAAGAATTCATAAAAATACAAAAGCCTCTTGTGTAGTCATGGCTGAGGAGAACCTGTTTATTCTTACTTAATTAGGTACTCTAATAGCAGCATATTCCAGTTAATTCGTGCTCGAAATACATAAAGCAACCAGAAAATCCCATGCTTAGGCTTCTGCAGAACATACTGGATTTCTGTTCCTGTCTAAAAGAGGGAAACATGTTATAGCCAACTGCCAGCTTCTCTGTAAAACAGTGAATTTTCTGCAGGTTCTCTGCTTGTTTGTACTAAAATAAGTTTTCATGTAGGCCAGGGGCTGCTGCCATTCAACCTCCACCTAACATCAAAAAGGAGATGTTATGTAAAATTATACTAATTTTGCTTTCAGACTTGGAGCTAACATTCTGGTTTTAATTGTCCTATTCAGTTGAAGATACTGAACATTTTTCTGCTTATGTGTGGTATTAGTTGTAACCTTAAGGAAGAACGGTTTTAAACATGTTATTGAAAAGAGTTGAACTTTCTGGATAAGGTGGAGACCAAGTCAGTAATGATACACGTGTATGGAAAGAATAGCCACAAAAGTTTTAGCTGACTAATTCCCATATAACTTACTGAGGACACACAAAGGCTATTGAGCTTTAGCTGTATCAAAATAAACCTGCCCCCGGGCAAACTACAAGAAAAATCTGCAGAGATGATCTTATGAAATGGCTAACATCTTTGCTATTGCTGTGCAGAAATAAAGTATCACAGGGAAGAAAAAAAAAAAAATAGCCACAACAAAAAGCAGCCTAGGAAATAAAATCTCTTATGAATCTGAATTCAAACTAGGAAAACAATTCCTGGGATCCATTAATTGGTGAATAGATGTGTGGGAAAAGCAAAGACTTTGCTGAGGATGCTGGGCTACCTTTCTGGGCCTAGCTGTGATGGTCTGTAACACAAAGACTACAAAAAGTGGAAGTGCCAGGAAGAGCCTCAGAGACCGGCGTGTTCTCAGTAGAAGGATTGCATAGGGAAGCAGGCTTAGGCTTGGAGAAATTTTGCCTCCTTTTTCTCCTGATTGTCTTAGCTCTATTAATTAATGCTGTAATATCTCTGATTTTGGAGGTTTTTGATAATTTTCAAACATTTGTCTTGCTAACTGTGTTATAATTGCACAGTGTTTATTCCAGACTTGGAGTTGCTAAATAGAAGCGTCTATATATAAGGAGGACTAGGCAGCTTTTGAAAGGGCGGTGTTTTTTCCTTTGCTGTTATACTTGTCAATTCCATCCGATTCTGTTGGTCTGCCCAAACTTAAAACATCACTTATCCGCAGATGACTTTGTGTGCATTTGAACATATGACACTTTATGTCACTAAGAACTGGAAGACTACAGGTTGTATCCTATATCCCTTCTGAAGACTTGAATAGAAAAGCATAATGAAATGTATGAAATACTGACTCAGTTCCCAGGAAAGCTGTGCTTTCCATCATTTCTGCATGTATTAGAAGAAGAAGAATATGCTAGAATAGAGCATTTACATTTTATTCTGTGTTTGCTTTATAGCCCTTTGGAAAACATCACAATTAATCCTACGTAAGCCTTGTTTGTAAACAGGGCTTTATTATGATTCTCTTTCTGCTTAACAGTTTCTAAATCATATAATGAGTATCAATACGATTGTTTTAATGTGTTTTGCATTACATTTTTTGATGTTGCAAAAGCAGCCTCACAAATTAAGACGTTCTTTTCAAATTTCCATGGAAATGTTTGCTTTCAAGTAACATTCGTAAAAGTTTAATGAAACTCAGGCTGTTATATTCTGCTCTTGTGTCTTATGCAGATCAGTCTGACCTTTGGAACACACAGTATTTTCACACTTTAACTTCCCACAGCGTATCAATTAGTAAACATGCTTATGAAAATTGGCCATTTAAAACAACATTTTTGTACTACAGACAGCCTCGTAAATCACAGGATGCTGACAACATGAAATGCCAGCTGTGAAATGAGAAACTGATGAAAATGCAGTAATTCTAGATTTTAATATAATATAAACTTTGTCAGCAATATTTGTGAATAGCAGCTGTCAAGATTTCATTTGAACTACGTGTCGCATGGTATTTCTATATTCTCTTCATTGCTGATAATTTAGAACTTCCTCTACCCCCTCCAACCTTTCTATATAATAAGCTCTACAAAGATTGGAGATTTCTACAAAA